ATTGGTCTTGATATTAAACATAAAACTCTTTAGGAGCTCTTTTTTGTTGAAAGTCACTTGTATATCTACACCCAACTGGTAACAGAAGTTTAGGTTGATGATCCGCAGGGGTTTCTTGGAGTGTTTATTTTTATAGTATTTTAGAACATCTGGGTTACCATTCATTTGACCAATCTGCAGGATAAACCAGCATTTTTTCCAAGCATAGTGTCCCAACTTTTTCTCAGGAGGTGATTTCTCCAGTCAGCCTGTGCACACCACATCATTGTCTGTTGACGGGAGCCCACAGCAGACTTGAGTGGACAAGGGCTTGGGCTGCTGGGTCAGCTGGCTGCTGGTGTGCAGCTCACAGGGGGAGGGATTCCTCAGTGGAGGATTTCCTGTATTTCTTCAATAATTTTTTAGCATTATTACTTAATCCAAAGTTAAAATGAAATCTTACCAGTACATTGTCTCTTTAAACTTTCTCTGTGTGATTGACTGTGATCTCTATTCCAATCCAAATCTCTTAGGAGTTCAGGTACCCCTTTTCCAGTGCCTTTAGAGCTCAACTCTCTTTGAAGTTGAGACACCCCCTTTTCCAGTACCTTTACAATCCAAATCTCTTAGGAGTTGAGGCACAGCCCTTTTAGTGCCTTTACAATCCAACTCAATTTGGAGTTGAGGCATCTATTATCTAGTACCTTTTTCTAATCCAACTCTCTTAGGAGTTGAGATACCTATTTTTTAGTACCTTTTGTAATACATCCTCATAACTCCTTACTTTCTTGTCAGCCTTCTGACAGTGATCTCTCAGGGTCCCCTTTCTTTCCTGCTCTTGGTGGGACCTCAAATTGTGGCTGCTCTTGGCCACTAAGTCTGAGTATTGGTCAATAGCCTGGAGATTTGGATAAACCTCAAGATGTCTGGTCCTTTTCTGAGAGAATGTCTCTCGCCTTTATTGTGGAGCAGCCTTATATACAAACTTACAAAAATCCCAGGTGAAAGGGGTCACAACAGGATACTGATCCTATTAGGGTGAGTTCAGATAAACAGGAGGTACCTGTGGTTATGCTGGAAAACAACTCTTAGAGACCCTGTGGAGGCTGGGTCCCAACAGGTTCCCAAGAAGCTGCTGGAACAGAAACTTCAAATTCACAACTTCTGTCCTGGGTTGTTGCCCTCACATGGACTACTGATACTGGCTTACTCCCCATATCCAATGGAACAGGTCCTGGGTTAGCTATGATTAGAGTGGAGAATTTGTTCCTAAGATAACTTTCTGGGTTTGCTTCTTACATGTGACATTTAGGCTGCGCTAAAGCTTGGACAAGAGTCTCCAAACACCCACATGGTGACTCCTTTATCTCCTGTCTATGGCTTTAATGGAGGTGATGGGACCATTAGGAGGTAAAGGCCAGTGAAAAGGAGTTGTCATTGGAGACGTGTCTTTGAAGCAGATATTGGTGCCCTTTGCCCTTCCTGTTTCTCCCTTTATTTTTTTGATTCTATGAGGCAGAGGTCTTCTCCACCACGTTTCCACCATAATGTATGGTAGTGCAACAAGCCCAAAGTCCTTGGGCCAAGCCAGCACCTCTGTGGAGGAATTTGCCTGAGAATTCATGCTTCAGAAGATCAAAGGTTTCCTTTTCTGGTGGAGGAAATGTCAGACACAGGCAAACTGCTCAGTTGAGAAGAATGAGGGCAGAAAGATCCGCATGTAAAGAAACCTCCCATGAGGCCTTCCACACTATGACAGGAATTCTAAATTCTACCAAGGTAGTTATACCGATGACAACAAAGGGAAGGGACACGAGCCCCGAGCCTTTGTTCTTCTTCTTTGAAACACAGGGACTCCCCATCGTCTATTTCCCTTCTCATATAAGTCATCATGGCTCATTCAGACTCCTTTGGTGGCCCAGTGACACCAGCTTTCCATGGGGGAGCCCTGGCCTTTCTGGAAGCACCTCAGTATTGTTCCTGTCCTTGGACCCCAGAAGAGCAGAACCAACGACCTGGGACCAGGGCTGCAGCTGTGGGCCTGATGCTTGCCTGCATTTTCTGCTCTTCGGCGAGGTATTATTAAACCTTTGAGCCCAACTTGCTGAAGGCAGGATTACAGTGGATCATGTTAAATCCCCTCCTCCTCTGACACCTAAAACTCTCAACTTCTAGGCATACTCAAGCAAGCAAGAAACCCTCATCCATGACATGGCCCAGTCTCCACAGTTGAACATGGTTAAAACTCCACAATGTATTTCTCAGGACTAGCAATCCCTCTTGGAGACCAGAGATACTGAGTGCGGAAGGTTCTGTGAAGCCAGGGTAAGGAGTCTGTCGGGGAGCAGCAATTTGGAACTTTGACTGTCATGGTTCCCCTCAGCCTTGCTGCATCGGAGACACTAATGAATAATTAAGACTGGGATTAGCACCCTGCCCCGGACCCTGGCACAAAGTATTAATATCCCAGGGGCGGGTCACACTGTGAGACACAGGATCAGTTCTTCCTGTCCCTCCAAGCCCCCTCAGCAAACACTGTACTCTGTCTTTGCACAGCCTCTGGCTTCTATCATGGAGGAAGCCCAGGCTCACGGGAGAGAGTAAACAGGAAGAAAGCAGTGGAGAACCGGCCGTGTTCACCCCACGTCCACACATGAGGTCAGCACAGCACTTAGCCTCCAATGCTTCCTGTCTTTCATAACTTCACAGCTTTACATGTTGGCTCCACTCAGAGCACGGCTCTCACCTCATTGTTTAGAGTGTACGTTTGTTCATCTTGACCTCTATGTGTCTGTGGGAGTCTGTGACCTCCATTTCTCAGAAAGGTCTCAAATTATGAAAACAAGATTTGTCTGCTGTCGTTTGCCTGTGGGTGTAGCCACACCACGCCTGCTATCTCCACCTAGGCCATTTCCTGTTTATCCACCTCCACCCTGATCACATAACAGCATGGTCACCCCACAGGGCAGTTAGAACAGAGCTGATATCTCTCCCCTTACATGGGATCCCTTGGACAATCTACCCATCCAATGCCTGGGATGAGTCATGGGCGTAGATGGGACACGGTAAGGGATTCCACTGAGATGTTTAAGGCTTCTCTACAGAGCCTCCTTCAGATGCCTCAGACTCTACTGGGTACTGGACCACAGTGAAATAAAAGAGGTTTCCTGACAAATTCAGAGTCTCACTCAGAAAAGAGCAACAGGGCACCTTTTTCCTCCCCAGGAGCAGGCAGAAGAACTTTATAGCTGTGGAATGTTCTTTCACGCTTGCCCTTCACTTGAGAAATTGGGTAGCATGGTTCTCAAAGTGTAAACTATTACTCCTCTTTTCTAGGTTGAGTGTATATTTTAAAGCCACAAAACCTTGAAAATCACACTGAAACCTATTTTTAAATTTAAAATTATAGGTGTCCATAAAAAACCATTGCAGATATCAACACACAGAAGCTGCACTAGCCCTGGGAAACAGCAAGCAGCTGTGGGGTGCAGGGACCCTTCTCTATTTATTGGGATTCACTTTTACCCAAAATGGAAACACAAGCAATTGTTAAACTTTAACATTTGGGGTTGTGTTGTCTGGACCTGGGTGTAGAGTTTTATAGCTTTCCAAATGTTCTAATATAAAAGAATATAGGTCTAGAGGGATGGTTCAGTGGTTAGAAACACTTGTTGCTCTTCCAGAGGAACCAAGTTAAGTTCCCAGCACCCATGTCAGGCAACCCCACAACTGTCTGGAACTCCAGCTCCAGGTCATGCAAAACCTCTGGCCTCTCACTCAACTTCACACAACCACATGCAGACACACTCCTGCACACAAACCTTAAAAAATAATGAAACAAATCATTAAAGATAAAAGACTCCAGTCGTTCAAAAATGAAACTTCTGCTGTGGAATGTTGCTGTATGGCGATGTATGCCTATAATCCAAATGCTCAGGAGGCTGGGGCAGGGAGAAGGATCGTGGCTTCCCAGGCCAGCCTTGGCAACTTAGTGAGACCCTGTGCCCAAAACAAAACAACAACAAAAGAGCTCTGTGATTGTGCAGTTGCCAGTGATGCTGGAGGCCTGGGGTCCATCCCCAGCACCACAATAGTAAGCAAACAAATTGATGACAAATGCCATGTATGACCTCATTAGTAATACAAAAAATTCAAGTGAACCATTCTATAAGATCTATATATAATTGTGTTATATAAATGGAGAAGATAGGGCCGGGCGTTGGTGGTGCACGCCTTTAATCCCAGCACTCGAGAGGCAGAGGCAGGTGGATCTCTGTGAGTTCAAGGCCAGCCTGGTCTCCAGAGCGAGTGCCAGGATAAGCTCTAGAGTTACACAGAGAAACCCTGTCTTGAAAAACCAATAAATAAATAAATAAATAAATAAATAAATAAATAAATGGAGAAGGATAAAGGAGAGGCTTCTGAGACAGAAGCATGTCCAGGGGTCTTAAGAAGTGGCCAGGTGAGATTGATGACTGACTTATATGCCACCTGATAGCCCTCATCCAGCAGCTGGTGGAAGTAGAAGCAGACACCCACAACTAATCACTGAACTGAATTTGAATCCAGTTGCAGAGAAGGACAAGTGATGAGCAAAGGGGTCCAGACCAGGCTGGTGAAACCCACAGAAACAGCTGACCTGAACATCGGGGAGCTCTTGGTACCCAGACTTATAGCTGGGAAACCAGCATGGGACTGATCCAGACCCCAGGAACATGGGTTTCAGTGAGGAAACCCATACACAGAGAGACAGACATTACCAAATTAAGGTAAAATTCACTCCTCCTAAGAAAATTGCTTATCACAGAGCCACTTATTCTGAGAAACAGTTACCTATTTGCTTAAAGAGTGTATAATTAATACTATTTACTTGACAATTTTTTGTGTGTACTCTACTGGGCTCTGCTAACCACGTGTTCATGGATAGCTTCTGGCTGTAAGAAAGCTCCCACTCCAATGGAGCAGGTGTTTGGAGTTGTGCTATTCCTGCCCCAGTGATGGTTTCCCAGGCTCATGGGCCCTCAGGGAGACTCAGGAATTAGCTGGAAGGAACCAGAGACCACAATGACTACATCAGTCTAACAGCAAACAACTGATTCTTAGTTGTCATTGGGAATATCTTAATCCTGTCAATTGTACAAAGAGGGCCAAGCTTAGAGAAAAGGGAATGGGTGTCAGGCATGAGCAAGAAGGTCCCACACCTGGAGTTGGGAGGAATCTGCTAGTCGGATTCTGAGCCATTCCTGCTGCCTGGGTGTTTGGGAGATGATTGTTTCTTTGAAATGTGTGTGATTCTATTTTTGTTTCTGGTCACCAATTAAACATTACTGATAGGCATGTTCTCATATCCTAATCAATCTTCACAAAAGACACAGAAAATGGGCAAATATTGAAAGAAAATTCTGAACAAAACTGAGCCACCCCATCTGAACTCGCAGAACAGTGGACACCTAACACCATATAGTCAAATGGGATATAGTACTCATTTGAGCATTGACCCTCAGGCGTGAGATCTAGGGCAGTTTCTCACAGCTGCACCAGCCCTGGGAAACAGTGAGGAGCTGTGGGGTGCCAGGACCATTCTCTATTTCCTGGGACTCAGTTTTATGCAAAATGGAAACACAAGCAATTGTTAAACTTCTAACATTTGGGGTTGTGTTGTCTGGACCTGGGTGTGAAGTTTTATAGCTTTGGAAACACTGGGAGAAACTGCCCTAGATGCTTTCTCCTCTCTCCTTATCCTTATGTCCCAGCCCTAAGCTATGCTCTGTGTGTCAGTAAATCATGTCCTGTAGGGGCAGAGGCTCTATGGAGTTAGGATTAAGCAACCCTAAGTGAGTGATTCCAAAGAGTTACAAAGGAAAGCATGGAGTTGATTCCTAGAGGAAACTGGTGTATCACGGTCATAGTTGAGAATTTGACTCTGAAATTCAGAACAAACACTTCTGTATTGTCCTAATACTATAAGATCGCCTTTAACAATAAAGTCACAATTACAAACTGATAAAGGTCTATGTTTTGACTTTTTGGTTAGTGTGACAAACATCTCACAGGAGCAACTTAAAGGAGCAGTGTTTATTTGGGCTCATAGTTACAGAGGCATCCTGGTCCGTCAGCATGAGGAAGGCAGGGCAAGCTAGCACAGGAGCTGAGTGTGGAGTGGGTGACACGATCTTGGAGACTCACACTGAGTCCTGAATTTGGTTCAGTGAATTCCCAGTTTTGCTATCTCTTAAGTTTGTTGGTGGCTATGGGAAAGGACCAGTAGGGAGAATGGTAGGGAATGAGACAGAGAAATTCTCAGAATGACTGAAGAAAAAATATATGTGCACAGACTACTTATGAAAAAATGCAACATTTTCTTTTCCTTTTCTTTCCTTTCTCTTCCTTTCCTTTCCTTTCTTTCTTTCTTTCTTTCTTTCTCTTTCTGTTTTTTTTTTTTTGAGACAGTGTTTCTCTGTAGCTTTAGAGCCTGTCCTGGAAGTTACTCTGTAGACTAGGCTGGCCTCGAACTCACAGAGATCCACTTGCCTTTGCCTCAGGAGTGCCGGGATTAAAGGTTTGTGCTACCACCACATGCCATATTTTCAAAAGAATTTTCTTAACTCCTTCAACAATCTGGCTGAATATGTTATTCTCTGCTTCTTGTCTTATCTTTTTGTCATATTTTTCCTTAATTGCTTGTATCATGCCCTCTTTTTCCTGAGTACTAAGTTTCCCAAGATCATGCTCTTCCTGTGCTATTCTAATTTCATTCTCTTTTTGATGAGTGTAAAGTTTCCTCAGGGTCTCTTCTTCTTTCCTCAGCCTTTGCTCCACGTCCTTGTATATGGCATCAGAGAAGTAGACGCCGCCATTTTTCTGCACCATTGCTTCTACCAGCTCCACCAGCTCCCGCACCTGCATTTCCCTCTCAGCCTTCTCTGCTTTGTTGTTGATGGCCAGGCAGCGGCCGTCACACTCCTTGATGATGCTTTTTAGGTTTGTATCTGAGTCCGCTATGAAGTCACTTAGGATCTGGTCCTCCAGCTCGTCTTTGCGGGTGAACAAGACAACCATGTACTTCATGGCTGCCTCCCCAAAGATAGCCTTGATCCTAATAACAGTTTCTTGATCTTCCTCTGTGTAGCGACCAAGCCGCAGTACCAGGACGATGGCATGAGGCCCAGGGCAGGAGTAGAGGACACAGCGGCTGACTTCAATGCAGGTGGTTTCATGCTTTACCCTGGTGTCAAAGAGCCCTGGGGTGTCAACAACCAGGAGCTCTTTCTCCTCCCACTTGCGGGATGCTCGCTGACAGCTCTTAGTGACAGCATGGGGTGCAATTCTAGAAGCAAATGTCTTTTGCCCCAGGATAGTGTTTGCTGTGGCACTTTTCCCACTTCCTGTTTTCCCTACCAGAACAATCCTCAGAGAGTTGTCACTGGGCTCAGCCATAGTCTTTTCAGGAAGCTCTGGACTCCAGGTGCCTGAGTACATGCAAGGGGAGAAAGTGGTTTAGATAAACTGGAATCCACACTGACCCTTCTGACCTTTCTATCTTTTCCTTCAGCAAAGGTTCTCACACTAAGGGGCAATCGCAGAAAAACTGTGGGGTTTAGCAGCACAAAGTGTTTGGAGGTTGCCTGGCTCAGAACTGTGGGTGACCATCCCCCTTTAGGAGACTACTCAGAAGCTAATATCTGGATTTTAAATCACAATGTAACTGTGCACAAATAGGCCCTTTCCGTTTTGAACCAAGTGGCTGCAGGCAGTGAGATAGCCAAGGGAACCATGAAAGACATTACAAATTACTTCTTAAGCTCCTCATCGAAATGCACAGCTCCCCATAGCTTCTCAGAACAATTTTATTACATTAAACCCCGGGAGACTGGAGAATTCAGACACCATTCTCCCCCAGAACCCAGGGAAGGAAAGAAAGCTTCCACATGCCTCCTAGGAGGCAAATGAAACTCAGGGCCCAAAGGTGACAATGACTGAATAAAAACACAAGGAAATCTCACATACAATTATTAATACCAAGTCCTAATAAAATATTACCAAGATAGAATCTATAAACATGGTGCATTATGACAAGGTGGGGTTTCTGCAGAGTGACTGGGCTCATGAAGAGGAAGTTATGACGGTAACCCACCAGCCAGGGTTCACATACGAACACTGCAGAAAATGTGGACTGATGCAAGTTTATCCTACATGTTTATCCTTCTGTCTCCGTCTCCATCTTACTCATTGAGTCCCTAAGCTAGCTAGCAAGATATTAGTGGGGGAAAAATCTTTTCTACTAAAACCCAGATGTTTCCACCTCACTGCCCTAAGTATTTGAAGAACTAGACAGACAACTCAAATAGAGAGAGCAAGAAACAGAGAGACATTTTCACTATGCATAGAAAAACTGCAGACAAAACACTCGGTCAAATATTAGGCTCTATCCAGCAATCTGTTCCTTGAAGGCATATGGATCAGCATATGAACGGTCGCATTGAACAAATACCTAAATAACTTGCAAATATAATAGGTAATGACATCATAAGGAAAGTGCAAAGGTTAGAGTCAGCCTTGAGCACAGAAATTATATAAATACAGTACTCAGATATGAAATTCTCAAAACTCAAACACACATGCGCATACAGAGTGTAGATAGGTAAAGCGAGGGGTTGGCAAGATCGCTAGGTGTCTTTGCTGACTCTGCCTGCTAAGCGAGAGCAGTAAAAACCAGCCCCTCATGAGCTCTGATCTTGGTATCTACATCCCACCACTTAATGAAGGGTCCCTAGATGAGTGGTAATTCCTGGGTACACTTCTCATCCATATACTTAGCAGAAGTCTGAGCCTGCAGCAGCGCATGCCATTGACACAGGTGTGAGGAAAGCAGAAGCTCCTGAACAGCAGATGTGAAGGCTAAGTCTCTCAGGTCTGCGAAAGGTCATTACTGAAGTATTTGCCCTGGACACAACATCAAATCTGAGGATGCACCTACAGACACACTGAGAACAATATAACGAGAAGTGTGCAGAAATTCTCTCACAGGAGTGATAGCTATAAAAGGCAGAGCAAAGGATGATCCCACATGCCATGACTGGGAGACGGGAGCAGTAACTCACATGCAAACAGAGCATGTGTTCTATTCCATGGATGTCACAGCAGCAACTGCTCAGGACCAGGGTGTAGAGAAGTGGCCACCTCACCTTCTCTGTAATATTTCCTCTAGTAAAGATTTATGGTTTTTATATGCATTTTCTAAGTACAACTCTCTGTGTATTATGTCCACATATGTGCACATATCATGGGAATGTTTTCTCCTCATAATGGCTCAATGATGGAAAATCAATTTCTTTCCTAATGTTATAGGTAAGAAAACAGTGGTTCCAGCATCCCCAAACACTTGCTCTAGTTCCCTGTACTCATATACTCCAGTGAAGGGACTGGAGGCCAAGACCCTCTGACTGCACTGAACCCCTTCATTACTAGGCTCCAAGCAATCTCTTCCTGGTTCATCCTCAGGTCAAGATTCTAAAGGCCAGTGGGTATCAATTCAGATGTGCTACCAGGAACAAGAGGGGAGAGGACAGCCCTCCCTGTGGGAACTGGAGCTGTAGACAGACTGCCCTAATGGTACCAGGTGAGGGCGGCCCATCTCTCAGCTGGCTTTTTTTTTTTTTTCCATACTGACAGGCCAGGCTTGGGAGACAGAAACACTCATCCCAAAACTTTCTAATGTGGTTCTAGGAAGACCCAGAGAACCTGCAGCTCAGAATCAAACAGAGAAAGTGCCTCAGAAGACTGCAGAGATACATGAGGGCCTAGACCACTCTTGAGAATCCCTAAATCCCTGTGAGATGCAGTTCCCTCCACTGCAAAAAGCGACCATGCAACCATCCCATCAGGGTGGTTCTGGGACTCCATAGAGCAAATAAATTCACATTTGCAGTGCTGAGTGTGAACACCACTCAAGATTAAGGCATCTGCTATGCAAGCCCATTTGTATGAAGAAAATTGACAAAGGGCAGAAGCCATCACTCAGTGGCATAGCATTGGCCCTGCAAGTACAAGGCCCTTGGTAGAGTCCATAGCACCATGAAAGAAGACCCAGACTGCAAACACTGCAGCTCACAGGCTCAGCCAGAATTACAGATACACTGGTCCTTCAGCACAGCCAGTCCTATTCCCAGAGCTCACATCCTCCACTCCAGCCCCTGAACTTTTAGAGTCATGGGCTCTTTCCTGGGGAGCACAAGGTGGACCTAGACATGGAGTCAACAACAAGATTCCAATCTTGTTGATGTCTCTCTAACAGTCATTGGTGCTCTGAGATTTGATGTGGGGAATTGAAGGGAGTTAGGGCACATTTACACTTGGTGACCTGCCTCCTAATTCTGAAGATCTGCCTCAGGGACAGTAGTGACATCTTCAGAAAAGGTGATGGGTTTTTAGGCAACAGCACATAATGACATGGGTAGAATCCACCATCAAGCAAATCTTTCTTACGAGTCTCGAGATGATGGACCTCATACTAAGAAGTCTCAGTATCCCCCCAGGACCTCTCAGCTTCATGCACTGAATGCCTGGAGTGCACCATGTCCATTACCCCAGCCCCTATTCCACATGCCCTGTGTCCTCCTTCCCACCCAGCTCACCTTCTCCTGCAGGACTGACGGATTCTGTCCTCAAGGAAGCTGGCTGCACCACTACTCCTGCTGCAGTTCTGCAAACCCTGAGCACAAAAACTAGAAGGGTGGAGTCAGTGCAAAAGGTTTCAGTCTGAAGAACAGAGGAAACAGTCAGTCCTGTGTTGTGGCTTAGCCCTAGGCGAAGCTCTTCCTTTTGTACTTGCTGTGATGCCCAGTCACAGCCAGTGAGTCTGTGTGATGGTGTTGGCTCTGAAGACCACATGCAGCCTAGGACATCATCCCATCATCTGTTGCAGGATTGCATGCTGCTCTTTGCATGAGTGTGGCCCTAATCTCCAAACTCCGAGGACTGCTAACTCAACTGACAGGGCTCAGATGAGTGTGCTCCAGCCCTCGGCACCCTTGAGGATCACTCTTAGCGGAACAGTAACCTCCTGAAAGGTTATCCCCCATGCCTACATAGATCCTAATCAATGACTGGTCGGCATGGAGCCATAAAGGCACATCCCTTAGTGCCGATTTGGGATATGGCCAGAGTTCTACCTAAGCTCCCATGGTCCAACTCAATTGACTCTCTAGGTCTTCTTGGCACTAACCACAGCCCTGTGTCTATTGTTTACTTCAGTGTCCTACAAGTGTTGGCCCTAGAAGCCATTCTAAGTACATTTTACACCTAGATCTCACCCTGATACAATCTGTTACCCGTGTACTCATCCTAGGAGCTCCAGCAAGTTCTATCTAACTATCTCATCTGTGTTCATGGAAAGCTGAGGGCTCAGTTTTGGAGAGGGTCCAGGCTTAGCTTTACTCAGTTTGTGGTACTTGATGCAGTGTAATTATTTTAGTCTAAAATAGTGAGCGATCTAAATTTCTACATAACAACTAGCTTGTGGTCCTTGTTTATTTATGGTGGGTGTGTACCCAGAAATAGAGCAGCCAGTAGGCTATGTGTGGGATTCATCCCAGATAAGGCACCAATGAAAGACCACAGAAAGAATTCTAACACATTTAGCTTAGTGAACCGGTTAGTTTATTAAGGTCCCTTACAGGAGGTTGGGCAGAAATTAATTACAGGAATACGGATTACTTAAAGGCAGCTGCCTCACTGAAAAGACCATCCCGGAATGAGGTGGCCTTCATGATTCATGAAAGCTGCATCCCTAAGGCTTTCTGAAAAACTTGCCATCAGCCCCACAGAAAAGTTTGCTCTTTCCAGTGAGTACTGTGGCAAGCACAACCTTGAGTAGGACCTCAGGAAGTCTTGTAAGTTTCAGGATCTTCCTGTGTCCTGTAAGGTTTTGTTGTGGTTTTTTGTTTTGTTTTGTTTTATTTTGTTTTTTACTTCAGAGGTCTTATGAGCTTCCATCCTTACCCCCCCCATGGAAATGTTTCACTTCAGAGGAAATTGTTACACCACAGAGGTAAAATCTCAAAGACAGGACCAGAAGCCAGGTTAAGGGGAAAAGGAGACCTCACTCTTTAGTGTAGTAGCAGCTCACTCTTGGGAGGACATTCTCAGGTCTCACAACTACCTTAATACTCTCTGGGGACACACTTCCAATGACTTTAAAACCCTCCATGAGGGTCTACCTACCTCTCACCCCTTTATTAACAGTACACACACACACACACACACACACACACACACACACACACACACACACACACACACACACACCTGGAACCCACTCATCTTCTATTACCCTCTCATTCTTCTCCCTCTCTCAATGGAACCCTTCTACTTCTAAGTTTCCCTCTAGTTTCACACCTTCTTGTTGTGTGTGACACAGAGCGTTTTATTAGCGTTGC